GAGGTTGATGGCAAAGGTTCCATTCATGAAGCCAAAATAAGGAAAACACTTTTCATTACAGCACAAGTGTCACGCCCTCTGCAGTCAGAGGGCGCTCCGTCTCTGTCCTGTCTCTCATTTCCGGTTCTTGGCTGTCCTTCCGGTGTTTTTCTCTCTCTGGGGCTATATATTTCCGGGTCTTTCTTTCTGCCTTCGCTCAGCATTGACGTTCGGATGTCCTGAAACCCGCCTAGCACCAGGTCGCCCCACATCCACTACCTGAGGGCATAGGTTTCTATACGGCATTCCTTGAACAGCTGAGCCTGGGCTAACCCCCGTCTCGCCGCTACGCATAGGGTCTCCTGCCATTCTATGGTTCATCCCTTCCGACATCCGTGACAACAAGCATCTGGATTTCAATGCAGAAACTCTATTTCTGTACAATGGCATGTTGGTATGGAAAAACCTAGAAGGAAAAGTGAAAAATGATTCAGATTAGCATCAGGGAGCCAAGTGCTATAGGCCTGCACATTTCTTAAGTAGCACATCACATCCTTAAAAAGCTCTGGAGCTCTGGAGCTCTCTTGTAAGTGTTCAAATGAGGCAGTGCCAACTCACATTGGTCCAGTGATCATTTAAATCTAGAAATGCCTTTGATACACACAGCATGGAATTTAGGATTTGGAGCACAATATCCACTCTGATGATCCACTGGAATGTGTGAGGAATGTATATGTACAGTATATGTAAAGTGTACAGTAGATATAATCAGAATGATAATAGTACTACATAATAGGTGTTGAGTGATTATCATGTAATATAGAGAATGTGTCACAAGCCCTCAGAAGTTGAGGAAACATTCCACACAGTTATGTTAACACCTTTTTAAAAAGAACTCACGTTAAGTGATGTGTACCCTGACTGAAACAACGTTTGTGTATTTGTCCATGTCAATCATGGACATGCTAGGAGAGAGGAAATTCTAAACATGTCTCAAAATAAAAAGTGCACACATTAGGATTTTCTTAAATGCTTTCTTAAACCTTTTGTCTTTACTCTGCTCTGACATCCTCATGTTGTTCCTCTATTTCTGTCCTACTTTCCAGTACGAAGATCAAAAAAGGAATTTTGGGATTGTAATGACACCTGCTGGCCTGATGAGCATATGAAATACATATTAAATAAAGCAAGATTAGCCATGCTACATCAGAAAGACTGTTTTAAATCAGTGTTGCTTGGGAGCTGGAGAAAAACCAGAGGTGGGATTAACAGAGCTGGAATCAGGGTGCCTAGAAAGCTCTGTGGTCTGATTTTCTGCAAATATGGTGATGTATATATTTAGCTAAAAACAATAAACGAAAGCCTTTACAAAACCACATTTAACATATGACACAGTCTTCAATACAGTTAGATGCTATAAAAGTAAGCGGTTATTTTTCTGGAGCTGGGGCCAGGTGAAAGCAGCTGGATTAAGAACGTCATGAGCCAAACCACAGCATCCTTAGAAAAATAAAAATATTTTCAGCTGAGTCATAACGCTGACCATAACAAGGTCATCCATGACAGGAATGGTCATTTATGGTCATCCATACATAAGCAGCCAGATTCATTTTTATACATTGTTTCTGTCTCTAACGTACAATAATGGAGTCAAAAAGAAAATAATGGATTATATATGTAATAAGATAATGGAGTTAGAACTGAAAATTGCAGACTGTCTTAATTCTGAAAGAACAGATACACTTCTAAAGATATAGTATTCTTTCTGATTAAATGTTGCTATTGTAAATCTCAGTTTTGTCATAATTATAATTGTAAATGTACAACTTAATACTACTTAATTTTAGTTTCAATTCTGACACATCATATGATCCTAAAATCCTGAGATCGTGATATTTTGTTAAGAATATAATACCTGCTGTTAATGATCTTTGAAAAGCTCCTTCTGAATATTTTATACGTTTATATAAATACAGTGTAATAGTAATAGTAATACTCATTTACTTCAAAGTATGCACACTATTTTCACAACTGTTTATCCATTTACTTTAAATTATGCAAATTGTTTTCACAGTAATTAGAAGCACAGTTTAATCTAGTTTAAAATTGGCTAGTGTGGCCAAATTGTTTACATCAAATGTACATTAAATGTATTTGCAATTGGGTAATAGTACAATAATTATTAGTAATTTAGCAAATTATTTAATCAAAACAGATTAAACTGTTAAACCAGAATCTAATACTGTGACAATTCAAATTGCCAATTCAAAGTCCGATGCCTATTCAAGTGCTTTTTAAACTATGTTGTCATTTCTGTGTTCTTCACACCAATTGTTTTTTTAGCTCTTGTTAAGTAGTATACACTAGCCATTTATCATTTCAATCAGTCAGTCAAAGTTTATTTTTCAAATGCACAACAATACAGTGTGCAGGAGTAGTTGCTGGCAATGAAATGTCTTTTCTATGAGCTCACCGGGGAGATAAATCACAAAATTAAAGTTACAAATTAAGTTTACATAATGATAGATAATAGTGCAATAGAAATTGAATAAGATAAACTCAGACAAAACTCAGTATAAGCAGATCTGCTATGTATCCAGGGTGTATACAATACATTATGTTCAAGTTGTACAGTATGCTGAGTAATGTAAACTGTACTGTATGTCCATGTAGCCATTATGGGTGATTTGCTGAAGGAACTGCAGCTTGGCTATTTAACTTATTGCTTATTGCCTTGAGGTAAAAGCTGTTCCGTAATCTGTTGGACTTTGACCGAATGCTTCAATACTGTTTACCGGACTGTAGGAGAGAAAACAGTTTATGACTGGGATGACTGGGGTCCTTGAGAATGGACCTGGCCTTCTTAAGACATCTAGCTGAGTAGATATCCTGGATATTTAATAGCTCACAGCCGGTGATGAGCTGCGCTGACTTCAACACCCTCTGCAGTACTTTGCGATCTCGGGCGGAGCAGTTCCCATACCAGGCAGTGATGCAACCAGTCAGGATGCTCTCACTAGTGCACCTGTAGAAGTTGGCCTAAATATGTGATGGCATGCCAAGCTTCTTTAGCCTGCGGAGAAAGAATAGGCGGTGCCGTGCTGTTTTGACCATGATGATGGTGTGGTGGGTCCAGGTTAAGTCCTCTGTGATGTTAACTCCCAGGAACTTAAAAATGCTGACCCTCTCCACTGCAGTCCCATTGATATAAATTATCATTTAAGCAGATTGGTAAGACAGGTTTGCTTTATTAAGCACACCAGAACTGTGGGCGTTATCAGCATAAAAAATGGAAACTGCTGAAATATCTATGAAGAATCTGACTTCATGGTAATATACATAATAAAGGGATTTGGCACCAAGAACAAAGCCCTGGGGAAAATGAGATTTGCTAGGGTGAACAATGGTTAATTTACACAACCGGTTTTCTTCCAGGTAGATAACATCTAAAGCATATTTTAGTAATACCAACAACCCTTCTAAAGTATTTAAATGTGTGGTATAATTAACAGCATGGTAATGTTACAAGCAATGTCACTAATACAATAATGTGGGTGTGACAGTTTTTTCCACATAAATAGTTTGTGTTGCAGTGTAAATACATTTGTCTTTGACATTAGAGCGGAAACTGGAACTTTGTTGCTGTTTCTTCTTAGTTTATTATTTCTTATCATAAGTAACAATTAAATTAAAATATAATATTGCACAAAGTTGATATTTCTTTAGTTTCAAAACAGATTTTGTGACTACGGAACAAAGCGAACAGAACAGGAAGCCCATTAATCTATTAGTCTTAATCAACTGTATTAGATTGTTAAAAGATACTTTTCGAATATATACAGTATGGTACATTATAGAAGACTGGACTAAGAATGGAAGAATGGAGGAAAGGAAGAGGCTGGAAAACAATTCACAGCCAACTAAAATGTCATTTTTGTTTTATGTAGGCTGGGCATATTAAAAATAATTATTTGGTACTCATTTTTATCTTCTTTCACTTTCAAAGGTCAGGCTTAACAGCAGCCGAAAATGAATTGTACAGTTCTAGTACAGTGAAGTAAGTGGTATAAATACTGCCCACAAAAATGGTACATTTGCTACTAATAGATTGTAGTAGTTAGGTATTAGTTCATTCTGTATTATTCTCCAATGTATTTTTGTTACAAAAATTCTGTTATGACATTTTTTATTTTTGTATTTACACAAATTGTAGATTAAATGGCACTCCCTAAAACTAGAGATTTGCCACTTCCTGAGGTGAAATCATGTTAATGAAGCTGAAACCATCGGATATTCCGAATTTAAAAAGAAACATGAGAAAGGTAGTACACATTATTCTGGGTCTTTTTTGCTGCTGTTGAAAAATTGAACAATAATATGGGACATTAATATTCTTTGTTTTCTATTCACTGGAATAAACCAAAAGTTTAGTTGATGCTTTTTGTGCTTCTTTTTTATGGAAGCTACTACACACAGAATTTCAAGAAACACCAAACTGAATAGTAATGTGCATAGAACATTGTTTACTGTGGTTGTACTTTTAAAAACAAAATAATTTTGTTTGTACTGGAAAATAATTTACCAATTTCATCTAATTACTGTTCTCACTCCTGTTACTGCTACTTTAACTACTGTAGCTGTTACTCTACCTTCTGTGATAGAACTATAGGCAAAATGCAAACTTTTGTAATTTTGCTGAAGTTATATATTTAGATCATAGAAGTTACTTATAGAGCTAAAAACATTTTCCCCCAACGAATAACTAAAATGGGTGTGAGACCAGCAAGATGGCCACGTAAATTCAAGTCTTTCTGTTTCATAAAGGTAAATGCTTCGCTATTTATACAGGATGTGACCATGTTGGAATGTCATGGTTTATAGTGACATGTTACCATTCAGGTAAAATACCAAAAATAAGAACTGCAACAGGTTAGGTTCCATGAGTTTATGCAACGAGACAACAAAGGTTATTCTGAAACACATACTAAGATACTGTACCTGGTAGTAGGCCGGTGATTTTTCAGTTGAATGCCTTAAAGATGAAAACAAACCCCACCAAAACATAAATAATTAGAGTGCTGGGCCGGTCACACAACTTGAGAATCCAGTCTGTCAGGTTGGTGTGAGCTTCATTTTCAGTGGTTTCAATTCAGATTGGATACAGAGGTTCTTGGCCACAAGCTGCGGCCTCCAAAGTAAAGCCGCTGTTGCTCAGTTCACCGAGGCATGTTGACCAGGCAAGTTAGTGTGTGGTGGAGGGGGGATGGGAAGCAATTTTTTAACCTTTAATCCGCGGGCTGTTTGATGAGGCTGACAGGCGGAATGGAGGCGCAGACCTGTAGATGCAGAGCAGGAGCCAGCTGTGTCAGGGGAAGCAGCTCTGTTATCCAGTGGCCGGGCCTCCAGGGAGAGCAAAATGGGTAGAGCCTCCGTGTAACAGCTCTCTATTGATCAGCCTCTTTCTGAGCCTCAGACTGACACTCCCATTCTCAAGCCAGGGCCTTGGTGGGGTCTTCCTGGCTTTTTAGGACGGCTCTGAGTAACAGCAGCAATGAGGTACCATGCCAGCTGGGTGTTAGAGATGAGTGTGCACAGCAGAGCTGGGCCACTTCCTAATTTGCTGGCTCAGGAGTGACAGGCTGGCTGCCTGGATGAAACAGTACTCTCCCCTCGCAAGCCTACTAGGATGGGCCAGTGCTGCTGCAAGCCCCATGACTGCCTCCAGTGCCTGGACAAGACGGTAAAAAAAAAATCTCTTATTTCCTTCCTCAGGGTTGTTGGCACCGGTTTTTACGTGTTCCATGTTCTGTATCCAGCTGCTCTGTCATAGTTGGAGGCTCTCATGTGAGGCAAAATTTTATTTTCACTTTTTTTTTTTAAATCATAGCGGCATATTAGGTGCTTTCCAAATAGCCTCTTTCTTTTTTTCCTTTGTCATTGCTGCAGCTCCCTTACATAATGCAGTCTGGTGTGTGCTCTCTGCTGGGATGATGAACCTTATTACTTGCTAGACTGTGTGCCTGTAATGTGCATTGTTGCTATCTTCAGCTGCTCTCTTCACTCCTGGCATTAAGCAGTGCATTATTCTAGAGCAGAGGCTCAGACTTGCTCTGGATGCTGCAGAGGCAGTCAGTTGCCACAGAAGAAGGAGAGAATAAAACTTTAGATGGCTTTTTCTTTGACTCAGGTCTAAATTATCAGTGGTATCACTATTGTTGCTGCTGTTTTCATTGTTTTTTTTACACAGAAAATATTTTCCTTGCTTATCCTGTATATGTTTTAAATTCAAACTATATTTGCATTAAAATTTTAAATATAAAATGTTAAACTTCTAAGAGGTTTTTGTTTTGGTTCTGTTCCACCACTGACAAGTATTTTCTGTGCATCTGTGAATAAAAATATGACCTTCAAGTGAGCTCAGCAGCACAATAACCTTCTGTTAAAGGATCATGAAATACAAGCAGGTTATGTTGCCTTGGTGAGCCATGAATTCAAAGCTGGGAATTAAACAGGCCTCGTGAGACTGGGTCTCCAATAGGTTTTACCCAGTAAACTCAGATTGGAGGATTTGATTGTACTTCGGAGGCTGGATGTTGAAATAAGTCAAAAGGTCACTGAGCTTCCCATTCAGCACCCTCGTTTATCTGTGGCTATGTGTTAATTTTAGTGAGAGTGGAACTTAAGAAGGCAATAACAGTGGTTCTTTTTAATTTTATTTTGTCATGCATTTTGAATATTTTTAAACATAAAACAATAACAATTTAAAATAAATTAAAACAATATCACATTAAAATAATTAATTTTGAGTTTCAGTACTTCGAATTAAAAATATCACAGAGAGCTATATGTAGGATTTGTAATTCAGTAAAATAAGAGAATTGGTCAAGGGTCTGAATACTTTTGCAAGGCACTGTATATATCGACAATTTTGAAAACATATGCAATTGAACGTTTATTAAATGTTTAATACCTAGTAACACTTAAAAACCTTATGAATTATAGTTAATTTAAAGGGGCAAAGACTTTTGTGTGTGCTGGGAAATGAGATAAACATCTTCTTTATTTAAACATGTTTCTTTAATGTTCTTGTAGAATGCTAAATTAACGGAGCACCAAGTTTAAATTATTTTATGACTTCTTTTGGTCGTTATAGGGATTAGTTCCTTCACAGTTGATTGATTTCTCATACAGCTATTGATTTTGTCATTTCCACAGACTGCGATAGGAGACCTTACTAATGCCTGATTGGAACTCTGGGAAGATGATGAGCTTTAAGGGACTTGCTTCTACACTCTGCCTGCATTTTATGTTTACTGAGTCTTATTCAAACTAATATGAATGCCAACAGACAATTTGTGAACTTTATTCATGACTGAATGATAGAATGATATTTAAGAGCTGTTAGAGACCCAATCCTAGAAATGCAAATCTAAGGCAAGTGAATTTCCTTAGGTTGTATTTCTCAAAACCCTGAAGTTTAACTCCTGATGTTTTGCTCAGTATCTCTATTTATCACTGTCTGTTCTTTTGTAAAATTGGACTCACCTAAAATCTGTTTTATAAAACGAGTGCATACCAAAAGTGCAGTTTAATTCTGTCTTATTAGCCTCATTCTTTGTATTACAATTTATTTATATTATTGTTAGTGTTCATTTCTGCTAAGGCTGCCATATTTGAGGCCCCAAACTGCGAATGTGTTTCATAAGGATTCTTCCACAAATGCTGTTCATTCTTGCAGCTATTTTTTATTTTATTTTAAGTTATTTTTATTATTTTGTATGCAACTAATTGAGGGAAAGAGGAGCAGATGTCAACTTACCTTGTAAGTTTAATGATACTTAAATACAAGTGGATAATGGAACTATTTTAGCATTACTTTTTTATCAGGATCCATTACATATAGATATAGTCTTTAGTATTGTTCCACCTGTAGTCACAGATTATTTCCTTATCCTTAAGAACACTTGTGTCTTCACCATATTCCTTCTTTGTTAAGTAAACGAATTGAACTATTTGTTTTTCTAATCAGTTGAAATGCAGGGTCAGAAATTAGCACAAACTCTGTACCAGATGTTAGATTTTAGAACTAATTTCATTAAGAATTTTATTTTAATAAGACAGTAGAATTTAACTAAGGAGTCTGTGCAACATACAGTAATGCTGCCTATTATGAGTGTGTCTGACCATTATGACTTGAACTTTTCACCTTGACTGCATTGTTAAGTAATGTTGCTCTTTCTGCTCAATAAATCAAGACACAGAAGGACACAGAGTGCTGTGTAAAGTTCAGTTAAGTTAGAAGTTCTGGTAAGTTCTAAATTAAAATTGTATAACTATTCATGTTGGCTCTTAGATAAAGTTTATTTCAGTATCAGAAACATGTTTATTAATTTATATATATACACACAATAAATATATCTTATATAGTCTGTAAGATACATGCAGATGTTGTTGTTGTTCTTGTTCATTTCTTTTGTTGTTGTTCTTATTCTCTTATTCTTTATCTCCTGCCATTTTGTCTCCACCTGTTTGGTAGAGTGAAAGTGCCCTAGTGAAAGAGAGGGAACTGTCCCTGGAACTTGCCAACCTCAGGAATGAAGTGGGTAAGTGCATAAACCCACTGCTTTGCAGTTTTGTCTCCACTTGACTTTGTTTCTCTGAGGTTTCTTAAAGTACTGGTTAGCTCCTTGTACTCATTAACAGAAGTATCAGTTGCCTAATATGGACATCACTTGAGGAAATACTTTTAACTTCATTTCTTCAGTCATACTGTATGAGTAAATGTGAATCGGTAGGATATTCAATTCTCATAAAAATCTTACAATGTCAAAATCTTTCAATGTCAAAACTTGTAGTCCTACTACACCATGCTGGGGTTCAATTATTTTATGTGCTGTTGGCCCTTTTAAGCTAAAGGTCTTTAAAGCATCTGATTTTAGCTATCAACACTTCAAAGGAATGCCCTACTTTAATTCAAGATCTGTGAGTACAGGAGGATGGAAATAGATTGTCCTGTGCATTTAAATTCTTAAATGTCATGGCACACTTTGAGACATGACTTGGAGAAATTGGAATGGAATAGCTTTATTGTGAGGTAACATTTGAATTTGGTATTTCAAAAATTGGAAAGAAAAAAAAAGCATTTAAAGGTCTCCTTCTGCAAGTCCCTCATAACAAACATAATAGCCAGTAACCTATTGAAAAGGTACAGGAAATGCCCCTCAGTATTCTCCCAAGCTTACATTAGTCATTTTCTGGGAAATTATCAGTCGGTGCCATCATGCTGATGAGGTAGTCTGTTTCCAGACAGTGGATTCTTTTGTCAAGATCCCCAACAGTAATACCATATCCCCAGCACAAAAACACTTCCGTTCTATGTGGATGATCAGCATTTGTCTTTGGAAAACAGCAGCAGAAATATGAACTAAATTAAGAAACTGCATTTGTTTTTCCTTCTTACCAAATTTGAGTTTTTTAAACCTTACTCTCCCAACATTAATGCTAATTAATTTTAACCATGGCACAACTAACAGATACTTTCTATTAAAAATATTTTAAAATTACAAATCAGAGGACCAGTCTTGATGTTTAGTTGCTAATAACTTAACAGCCCAAAAATTTCATTTGTAAACGAATCAGTGGGGGGGATCCTTATTCGGAATGCAGGTTAAAATGCAGTACGGAAATCACTCACCTGTGTGCTGGCTACATAACAGGCTGATCCTGAGCAGGATTCCTTAAGCATAAAGCTGTGCACAATCAATCATTGAAGATTTGTGTTGGTCAGGGTATCCATGGCCTACTGTCTCAATGACTTACTTGACAAAACTGCAAGCTCACAAGAGAGGCTCACAGGAGAGGCTAGCTTTGCTGTAGAAGCTGCCAGTCTTCTTAACTGAAAGATAATAATGACAAGCATGGCATGGCAATATACAGTTGTCCTAGAAAGTGAGACTTTTCCTCTCGGACTTTGCTTTCCCTGTAAAGCAGCAGTGAGGCCACCAGTAGCGTTATCATTGTGAGACTACTGAAGGCAGCAAAGCAAAGGAATGAATCCTTATCCCTATTTCTCCCCCAGCCTTCAACACAGCCCGTTGGGAGCGTCTGCAACAGGACAAGGAAGAGCTGGAAAAGCACTTCGAGAGGGAGCTGAGGAGGCTGCACATGCAGCAGGAGGCCGAGCTGAAAGCGCTAGAGGACAGGCTGAGGTCCCACCACAGGGCTGAGCAGGACAGGCTGCAGGCAGAGCACCAGGCTCTCCTGGAGATGATCAGCAGCCAACACCAAGAGCAGGTCAAAGAGTGCACTCTCTCAACCTCATACCACAAGCCCAATTAAGGCTGACAACCCACTGGACTTAAAAATTACCAGGTGCAGGACAGTTTACAGTGCAAGGAAATACAATTCAGCCACAAACACCAAAATAAAACATAAGCTCCAATTTGAGCTCCTGACTAAATGTCTTTTTAAAGTCCTGGACTAATATAGTTCAGAGGCTAAGATGCTTAATGGCTACAAATCAAACACTTCCAAACACTTTATTTCACCTAAGGCTCACAAATGTGGCTTCTCAAAACTCAGAGGTTCCTTTGTTCCATGGCCAGTCTTTTCTCCCTACAGGTAGTCTGCCTTCTGTCATCTAGACAGCAAATATCATTGCACAGGACACCTCTGCTTCCTGCTTTTTAAACACCCAACTGACCAATTGTCTTCCAGCTATTGGTCAGGTGACAGAGCACAGCAGATCATTCCCCCGGAGGTTTCTGGGAACTGTGATCCTGATAGGGCAGCTCTCTGACAAGTTGGACCATGTCCTATAATTCTGAAGGTGTTAGAAAATGACAGCTTTACTTTAGCTCAAAGCAACAACTTGTAATAACCCCCAAAAGACTTAAACAGCATTCTAATTTGTGATATTCCTCAATTGTTTTTTTTACCACCATAGTTATATATCCAATGTTTTTTACAAAGTACTAGAGACACCCAATAAATTTGGAAATATTTAGAAAATTTCTAAATCCGACAGAATTGTTCTTTATATTTTGACCAGTTGCCTGAATTGCAAAAATACTATACAGAATCAAAAAAGAAACTGTGACATAAGTAATGTTTCAGAATGTTTTTAGAGAGTCTAAAAGACCATTAGGGTTGTTGTTTAGTGAAAATGTCAGCACACATTTCTCTTATTTTTCTCATTTCTAATATTTTTGCTACAGTATGTGCTGACTATTCAAGGTAATAAAAACCCTGGACATTTCTAAACATATTTAAATTAACTCTATTTCCCTTTTTGTTCAATACATTTTATTTTTGTTAATGCATCCTCTGAATTAAAAGTGTTTCAGTCAGGAGGTCATGTCTCGGAATCTGCATTTATTATTTCCATGTCTTTCATAAACATTTTCTTTGAAATTATTAAATTTTGATAGATTTCAAACATGTACAGTATATATATTAAATGAAACATCATACATCAAGGAAGCTTCATATATACATAGTATATTGAAGAGGTACCTGTATACTGTATCTCTTGAAGACTGGTCAATATACAGTACATTAGCCCAATTAAACACCACATTTCTTTTTCTTTTGCTATTGCATTGAAAGAAGCAAATATATTAGAGTTCCTCTCTTTCCTTGAACAGCAAACCATAATGCTTGAAGAACAAAAAAAAGGTGGTTATAACTTTTAATGTTGGATTTTTTCAGATTGAAGAAATGAATGTAAACCACAGCGCAGCTGTACTGGAGATGGAGAATATTCACACTGTAACTATTGCTGAGCTTCAGGATGAACATGAAAAAGAAGTGAAAGGTAACTCGGGATTTCCCCTGTGGTCAGAATTAGACTGCTTCTTGTGTGGTGCTGTGTTCCA